TAGGATTTCTGCCTCGGTTGCTTCTACCTGCTGAAGCGATGGGTAAGGCCCAAAAGGCCGGTAGCTTAGGCTGAGGACGTCACCGAGGAGTTTACTCAAATGAATCATCGTCACCCAGCAGTCTGCCAAATGCGGCAAATCGGTTGGGATGTAAGCATTGGCCACTGCTTCAGGTAGCCCGGTCACGTCGCTCAGCATATCGACAGAAGATGGCAATACTGTGTCGCAGTCACGTATGTCGATTCTGAGGGGTCTCCCCATTGTAAGACTCAGCCAACGATCCCGAAAGAAGCAGCTCCACCAAAGACGACGCCACAGACACTGCTGTCTTTCAGGTATTGAGGAATTCAACCAAGCTGAAGATGGGCAGCGATGCAAACCCATGATCTGGCAGAGACTAATTGCTGTGCCAGTCCAATACCACGGTTTCATATGCAAATCTACTTCCGAGTGGTAGAACCCCAAGAGAAGAGCCGATTGCAATAGAACAGTATTGTCAGTTTCACCACTGTTATGATGCATACACTGGAGGTCAACCAGCCAGTTAGAAAACTCGATAAATCTGATGGACTCAACTGAGGTACAACCCGCTGAATACGTACCTTGGCACGAGAGTACATATCATGTTTCATTGCCTTTCTCGAGGAGTAGCCTTCCTGTTTCCACGTCTCAGTGGAAATATACTATAATCAATGTTAGCAGATGAGGTTATCGAGCAAGGGAAGCTTGGCATACATTTGCTGCAACAAAGAACATGCTCCACAGCAAGAGGAGGCTACATTGACTGCTTTCGCCACTCGGATAAGAGCTGAGTACTGCGGTCACATCGACGACCGGTAGGATAGGATGCACATGGTGGAAATAGGCGCGGAGAAGCTCGTTACATGTATCACTCCGAGGCAGGTTAAAAACGCCTTTATACTGAAGGTATTCGCGGTCCTCAGCAGATAGGGGAATCGATCTCTTGGGCTGAAGCAAAATATGCCGCTGGACAGGTTGCTGTGGTGGCGAGCATAAGTCCAATACACTCCCGAAGCCCGGAGACTCGCCTAGCCAAGATTCAGTTATATTAACATTTGGGGTATCCTCGGACCTTGGAGAACAAACCAGTATAAAATGGCGCCTGGCCCGCCCTCCTATTTCTCCCTAGGGCTGCAGTTGCAATTTCTGCCCCAGTGCGTTCCTCATCAAGGCTTCTGTTGTCTTCTGGCGAAGTATTGATATCAGTAGCACCTCCCACTGATCTGGGACGTTCTGCTCGAGGGGTAATCGGTGCAATGAACGCATCTGCTGGAGCGGAAGGCCGGGGCGGCAACGACCTTCGAGACTCCTCTGCAATCCGAGGGCCGTTCTCCGGGCCATTTTGCCGTATAGGAGGTACAAATTGACGGATCCGAGGTCTATTCACGCTCAGTTCATTGGACTTACGTACAGAGTTGTGGCTTTGAGGGCTTACGTTGTTTGCGTCTTTCCTTGTGGGATAATACACTCAGTACCGTCTTGCGTACAACCAATACATGGTACACCGGTAACTGTATAGCTGCAGCGGACTTTACGCTGGCGGCAATGCTGGCATGCGACTGCTGATCGATGGCGACGTGCCGACATGACGGATCGGTTATCTTTTGCGATAAAGTAGTATGAACGGTTGCCGAGAGTCTGGGGAAGAGCTTCTATTTCGAGCGGAGTACCTCGGAATCCTTCGCATGGAACATCCCGGGCGGCATTTGCCCTCTTGCCGATTGGTGGAGGTGAGGTTCTGCCCCACACCTCATTCAACTACTACTACCAAGCCCTAAGTTTGTATACACATCGCAATGCTTTGGGGTACTAAATTTATCAATTCGCAGGGATGACAGATATTCGCATTACTGAAACCGTAGCAGACATATAGTCCTTCATTTTATCACGAAAGGGGCAATCTATGGGAGTTTTCGCTGCCTAATCAAACTACCTCTCTTCATGAACACCAGAAACACAACACAAGAGACAAGGAACAAAATGTATCCAAACCAAAGTCAATCCCTAATCGGATGCACCGTCTTCAATGGCTCTGCAGATTATCGTTCCGGTTGAAAGCCCTCCGACAGTTCACCACAGGGCATTCGTACGAGCGCGGTGAAACATGAATTTTGAATATATGACGCTTCAAATCTTCCTTCCGTCCGAAGACACCAGTATATCTGCATCCAGCCCATTCACAGCGATATTTGCTAGAGTGCTCGCGTCCAGTGCTAGAGCATATAGTGTTAGATGAGAGGTCGAACTAATAGAAGCTGACAATCACTTACTTGCGTTCAATCATTTTATGTCCCCTACGGAGATTTCTATTACGGGCAGACGTGCCATCGCCATTTATCGTTGGAGATTTTTGAATTCGTTTTTGTAGATCTAGAACATCTGTCCTACAGCTGGTATGGACCCCCGGGTTGGAAATTGCCTGTGTGTCATTGCACCCCGGAACGTTGGTAGGGTGACGCGATGTGGTCAACAGGATTGGGTTAACATTGGTCATTGCGAGCTCCGGGCTAGGTCGACTGCATGATGCTCTGTCGGGGTTGGGGAAGTGATTGTATGCGATAAGATCTGCTGGTCTCGGGCTTTGTTCTGGATTCTCGTATCCGACTGACACAAGGGGTATAGTAACCTGCTGATATTCCAGGTCCTGGTTGATAAAATCACCTTCTGGGTGAAAGAGACTACAATCACTTAAGCTATGCTTCTCAGAGGACCACATCATCAGGATACCTGAGAAGGCACTTCAACGATACTAGAAGGGCGCATGCAGGAACCAAAGTATAGAAGACCTCGGGAGCGAACGAACACTGCCATCTTTTGAAGGTTAATTAGGCCATATTTATAGGGTTATTGCCGTTCAATCCCTTAGCCTTGAGCCTCGAACAAACACAAATCACATTCGATGATTCATCGTCTCGTGCAGATGAAGCACGAGGCTAGAATTTTCGAAGTGCTTCGAGGCCAGCTTTTGGAGAGGCTAATGCAGGCCATCCAGGGCAGCCAATGACAGTGACAGGCTAAAGGTCTTCTTCTAGTCTAGTGCCTGGCACTGAGACATCTCATCACTCAATATCCTACATGAAGGCAAGTTTGAGATATGTCATCACACCATCTCGCAGTCAATCACGCTGATAATGCACATGTTGATATAGATAGTTGCACGAGCTTTGGATCTCAGGATCGTCCTTATTCTACCGCAGCTAGTTTGCTCTGAGTATCTCCTATCTATGGGCTCATGGTTCGATAGTCGACTCTTTCACTTCGCACGATACATACAACATGAGCGAAATTCTAATCTATGACCCTGTATTTGAGATCCCAATCATCTCCACGACCCGCATAGTAGATGCAAAATCTGCTACAGCCCACGTAGTAAAGATACCTTGGCCCATAGGCGCCATAGAAGCCACATCTGAAGACGAGAAATTACTCTCAAGCCTACGATAGCCTAAATCGATGTCAGCCTCGCTGATCACTACAGATCACACATAGCCACTATGCAAGTGATATCACGTACTGGAGAGGGAAACCTACACAAAGCACAGTCGTCTAGTCCCAGAAAGAGGTTCGGCTAGCTTATCTGGGCAGAGTCAGTGTAATCCAGATGCTTTCCGTCTCAGAAACTTGCCTCATCACTATATGATTTATTAGAATATTATATTCTTTCTTCAGCCCCGCAGCCTTTCTGACCCCAAGATGCCACATATTTCCACCCATGTACATTTATGTTTGCTAGTAGGCAATCCTCCTCGCCTCGCCCTCTCCAACTTTCTTCTTTCTAACAAACATGTGAAGGCTGTTGCCTTTCATGCTTGCATGATCTCATATTGCGAACCCATCCGAGAGGCTTGTTTGATTTCAGTTGGAATGGAAACAGGTTTAATATAATCCATAACCAAAATTCCAGTTCAAAGTCAATCTCAATTATGATCCGGCATACCATGTACTCCACAGCCCCAGAACATGCAGATAATGAACCAAGCCATATATCAAATGTTGCAGCTGAAGACAATATAGTAATTTAGATATTCCTCCAAAGACAGGGAGGCCTTCACTTAACACGCGGGACAAATTACGAAAGAAAGTGCACAGGATGCAGGGACATTTGAGGGCAGCTCCCGGAATCGAGGACTGTGATTCACAGACGTGGACGAGTAGGAAAGGAAGCCGGCCATCTTGTGGCACTTCCAGGTCCTTGAATGTATCACAGCAATGGCCTAAGCTTATCACGAGCCTGGTGTCACAATCACTCACTCCAGAAACGTTGCAATGACTTGGTTCCACGGCCGGGCAATAGCCTTGTCCAGCCTTAGGGATTTACTTACAGCAGTTCTGGTTTGTCTCTTGACTTTAGGGAATACAGTGAGACATGCTGCGACAAAGAGTAGTACCAAGTGCGCAGTGCTTTGCCATCTCGAGCGCCAGTTGATATCCAGCATCCCATAGCATGCACTACCAAGGCTACAGGGCAAGGGGGGAGGGGTATGGCATAGTGAAAAGCACAAACTATCTTTCGTAGGTTCTTAAAGCACTATTTCGTGTTGTATGCAGGCTATAAGTGTCAACTCGGTGGTTACTTCTTTGAGTGAGGTTTTCGTTGTTGTAGAAGGGACATGGCTTCGACGTTTCACAAGGCAAAACGGATACCACCTCCGTTCGTTCATCTCGCATTCTCTCTAACTAGCCAAGATAATGTATATCGATCCAAATCATATGTACTGTCACATACGAAGTATTATACCATTGGTAACCTAAATTCGAATGATCGAAATAGTCAGCTGTTTACAGAAACCGGATGCATGATGTGTGTAAGCCCTAATTTACATCAGATACAGATGTTATGTTTACACTGTTGATGACTATATCAGTTGGAATCCATTTTCTACCGATCTATTTCGCTCATTCTTAAACACCACGGGATCCCTTTGAATGCCTTGTACACCAGATCCACTTTATATACATGATTGTTCGATATGTTATATTCATCTTCTATACACAGTAAACTCAAGGATCAAGAAGGCCACATACATCACTAGAAACACAGCGCCTACCGCACGGTTTGCGCTGACAAAGACCGCCAGAAAGAGCATCACGGATGATACCCAGGTAGAAAAGACTTCGAAGAGCAGGACGCGGTCACTGTTGTCCGTTGGGAGTTCTGCAAGACCAATAACACCGGCGCACAGAGTCAGAAGGAAAATATTGCTTCCTGCAGTGCTGGCTACCACAATGCCACTGTGTCCACGAGAGCCGCTGATAATGGCAATCATCTTTTCCGGTAACGTCGTAGCGAATGACACCACTGTGAGACCAACAAGGGTCCCCGAGAGGTGGAAACAGTCTGCAATTGCCGACGCACTGCGTGACAACAGATAACCAGAGATGGTGAGCGCTAACAGGCCTATCACGAGTTGGGAGATATGATAGAAAAGTGAACGTGGAGCGCGCTTCCTGGAGGTAGGGGCCTCTTCATTTGTGAGAAGAGGGGATGTTTCCGACTCATCCTGCACTATGTTGCCTTGCGGCCTGGGTGAGAGATAAGGATGCTCATCGTCGCTGGTGTCATTGTCGCTGTCGCTGTCGCTGTCGCTGTCAGAAGCTTCTGGTGGTTCCATAACTCCTTTATGAATTGCATAGCAAGTACATATCATATATACGAGAAAGGTCGCCACTAGTACACCACCGGTGACTTTGTTCAACAGGTTGAAGTAAACGAGAATGGAGAAAGCGGTTGTGATTGAGAAAAGTAACGCTGTATATACCTTGGCACTGGGATCAAAAACGAGCGGCCCAGGATGGAGTAAAAGGCCCAGGGAAAAGGCACCCAGGACATTCGAAATGGAGGAGCCCATCACATTTCCTAGTGCGAGCGGCGACTGCTTTTGCAGGACAGCCGCAATGACTACGGCAAGCTGTGGTCCATCCAGTGTTAGGGTACTAAGAATAGAAGCATATCACACCGTATGCATATCTGCACATACCTCCTCATATTCAGCACCCGCAGTCAGTACAGCAATAAGGGTCTGGGAAACTCCCAGACGCTGGCCAACAATAACGGTGTGGTCAATGAATTTATCAGCGCCGTAGTCTAACATGAATACACCGGCAGCAAACACCGCGGTATTGAAGAGTAGTTTATCCCAGTCCATGGCGCGTGTAGGCTAGTCCCGTCGTCTCTTGTCGCTGTTGAGGGACTACGCGTTGGTTTCGAGATTCGCCTGGTTGAATTCCGTAGAAGGAAAGGATCTGATGTACGGTGTACCTTAAACTTGTAACTAGTGAAGGAAAAAGCTTCTGAGTCAGCATCGCGAGTTGTGGTAGTGAGTTGGTGATCCAATGCACTGAGGAAAGCTGCACATACTTTTATTCATTCCTCCACAAATTGCATTTAATAGCTTCGCGGATTCCGTTGCCGTTCTGACACCTCATTTTCCTTCATTTCGCGAGGATCTCTCATATTAAGATAGTTTCGGTATGCCGACCCGTGCCAAACTTGGTCTACGCCGACTTCCCAAGAAAGCAACATTTAGAAGCATAGAGACCAGGTCTTATACTTCGTCAGATCGGTTCTCATTGAAATAAACTACATTTTTGACCTAACCTCTACATCTAAAGACTCTAACAAAGTCAATGTAAAATCCGGGAGGGTAACAGGACCTAGGTATTTCGGGTTCGGATATCAGATTCTGGTGACCCCGAATAAGTAGCGCTGGTCATGTTCCTCGATGGGCTTCTGCAATAGCATCCTATTCGTATTTTAGTCTTCATATAATCCCATAACACTTGGAACAATCACACGCAGATTAGATCCATTGTGAAGGCTGTTTGTAGTCGATATTGGTGAAGACTTGGTCTACCGAACAAACGATATACTAGGACAATTTCTGAAGTTTCTCTCTCAATAGCTTCCCCAGCATCGCACAGTCCTCTTCACCCAGATCGGCAAGTTTGGTGGCCTTCTCTGCCCACCGCTGGCATTCGCCGCTTTCAGAAAGTAAATAGAGATCCACCGCTCGATTAAATGCCACCGTCGCCATCCACTGAATCTCATCACTTGGATAGCGCAAGGTTGTGCCGCAAAGGTCACAAGCTGAAGCTAAAGCCAGATCAAGGGCCGACTCAGCGAGACAGTATTCTGACGCGTCCAAGGACAGTTGAAAGAAGGTATGGATGTAGCGGGGAAGAAAGGCCCGGGCTGTTGCAGCCTCTAGGTACGGGGACGTGGTGGTGCGGAGGACAAGTACTATTTTCTTAAGAGGTTATATTCCGTTAGCCCATGTATCATAGCTGATAGAGTTTCCAGTGCTGCCTGATGAATAAATACCTCAACAACCTTGACGATATATGTTACCGAAGCTCCGCAACGGAGGACATAATCAAGAAATATCGAACCGAGTTCACCGTCGATTATGCTCTTCGACTCCTCAATAATGGAAGACACATAGTCCCATTGGTTAAAGAATAAAGCGCATTCTAGGTCAATTGACAAGATCCTTCGATATTTTTGGAGCCATTCATTGTTTTGGTCGGCCGTATTCTCGGGTTGTGGTCGGTTTTGAATATAGGTTCGGTAGTGCTGGGCAAATTTGTGGGCATCTTCATAGCGTTGTTTCTACTTTCTATTAGACTTTAAAAGACAATTACTTGGTAAAGTGGAAATAGGGCTAAACAAGCCTTCAAACTGGGCTCCGTCTCCTTGCGAGCCTCTGCGATGGCTCTAAAAGCCTTGATGATATCGCAGTGCAGATAGTGTTGCCAAAGATTGGACTGCTTCTCGCAGGTTGTGGCCTTCCTCTGCAAGTCTGTGAACTGGGAACCCAATGTCAGTATTTCACAAAGAGCATAACTGAAGAGCAGTAACACACCTGTATCGAGAGGTCCAGTAGTTGTACCACTAGCCTGGAATCGCACAAGCGTGCCTGAACAGCGATGCTGTAGCTCCTTTGCGAAAGCCACTCCAGTTCAATGGCCGAAAACACGGTATTTTGTCCACTTTTGTGTGCTATTTACCGGGTTTAAATACTTAGCATTAAGTACTGTGGATCTATAGTTCATGACGTACCTGCTTCGAGCACACGTATGACCTGAGCGAGAAGCCCATCATCCTCTTTCACCTTTCCCGTTTTCCCTAATTGTGCTGAGACCAGACAGCCTGCAGCTATGAAAAGGCTGGCAATATACTTTCCTTCCAGGAAGCTGTCATCTAAATTATCTATTACATGCTGGAGACATTCAGCTGCCAATAGTGTTTGCCCGGATCGAAGGGATTCTGCTGCACATGGCAAGAGGTATGTTCTACCAGTTGCGCCCAGCTGACAGAGCGAATCGAGATAAGAGTGCCCTTAGCCATAGTTAGACACGGTATGTACGGAGAATATCCGCTTCCTACCTTGGCTGAAGTCTCTGTCACTTAACGCCGCTTTGTATATCAAGTATAGCGCTGAAGGACATTTCCTATACTCATTTGGCATATTACCAAACAGCTTGTACGCTGCGCACACATTTGAATTATTCGATGCAAAAGCTATGTATCTTCTACTTCCGGTTAGACTGCCATGAGTCACATTAATCATATCTTACCTAAGAAACATCTCTCTATTTTTCGATGAAATTTGAAACATCGATTCTTCTAGTACGAAGGAGCACCAGTGTTCTGCAACGCGAGGATTGCCTTCAGATGAGACAACATCGACATATTTCCATATGAGCTATAACTCGTGTCAGTTACTTGGACTCCATAGCACATAGGGTCGTTACAATCAGACAAGCATTTGTTGCGTCCTCGCTCAAGAGACCTCGACCACATTTGGCCATCCTTTTCATCGTATCACACAGAATACTGCTATTGTTCTGCGTATGGAGACGACTATTTGTCAGCGTCCAGACCAAGAGAATGAAGATTCGCTCAGTCCACTCTTGCTGATCGGAATTAGCAAGCTTTGCGACCAAAATCTGCTGCAATCCTTGCACATAGAAACTGGTCCTGCTCTCTATCAGCTTATAAAGTCATAGGTTAGCGTTTACTCACTGATGGTCTCGAACTTTCTGGAGAAAGAACAATGCTCTGTGTGTTTGTTAGATGATTTCATGCCATAAGCCACGGGGTGTCACATACGTGTTCAACTCTGCCTTGTTGGGATTCAGTATATCAAGCATATCTCGTAGTACTTGAGGCTTGTCATAAACATTGAAACATATATTTATATTCTGTGCTCACTTACTTTGAAGATACTCATTGCCATCCGAGTGCCCCTCCCTGCTTAGAATTTCAAGCTGAAGCGCCTTGACGGCAAACGCGTGGCGATATTTCTATAAGCACGGTCAGAACCCAAGATCAGATAACTGTCAATTCCTTACCTTTTCAACGAGGTTGAGGGCTTTCGCGAGACGCTCCTTAGCGAGTGAACTCTCGAGGTGAAGGTTTGCTCGAACTACACTATGTTAACTCTTACATGGGGTATCAACCTAGCTGGGCCTTACTAGATGCGTGTAAAATGGGCAGTGCGTCATTCCCAACATCCTGCGCCATATTACCGTTGTAAAGTTCCCAAGCTGATAGGGCCCTTTCTAACCATTTCGCTGCATTATCATAGTGGCTCTCAACGAGAGCAAAATTTCCTATCTTGTAACATAACTCAAGAACGCGTCTCTGGTCATATGAAGTAGCTACTGCCGGTATCTTCGAAAATAAATGGTCTGCGATATCAGACCTCCCTTGTAGCCAAGCCTTATCTCAGCAGGTCAGCGCTGAATATAGTCGCCCAAGGCTTGCATACTTACCAAATGGACTCGAACTATATAATACCCCACCGTAGCTGATACTAGTTGTACCTTATCCGAGCTATCTGTCGATCTCTCGAGTCTATCCAAGCGTACAGCTACTATCTCGACGATCTTTTGGCTTAGTTCGATAATCCCATGTTCTGGCCCCATTGATCAACATGTTGCTGAAAGACAGAAATACAACAGGGGAGTACCTGTGCAACTTTGGACAGTTTTCAATGCTGCTTCCAACACTCTCTGGCTTCCTACACCCTTTCATAAGAATGTACCCTCCAGAAGTAGCAACGCTTCATGTATCAATTTACCTGAGCCGTGACTTGGCGCAGCACAATCAAGCATGAATAACGCAAAGGCGCTCACTATAACGAGTCAGATGATGTCGCTAAATGTAGATAAATCTCCCATGCCTTTACAATGGGTAATGCTTCCAATAATAGATATCATCTGGGCAGATATATTCCACAACCTTGCTCCAATGGCGGCGAGTTGGCGACGGATAGCAATTGGGGGAGACGTGAGTAGAGGGAGGCGGCCAAGATGTTCATCGAGTGAGTAGAATGCATCGCTCATTGAGATCGCACCCTCATTAGTACTGTTCTGTATGTGTTGGAGTATTGTCTCGGCAAACTCTTTGCAATCGGTCAGAAGGAGCAATCAATGAAAGAAGCGCTCCCAAGGCCGCTCACCTAATATCGTTTCGGCTTTGGCTTCGGAACTGCTTGACGTTGTTGCCATGTCCTCGATTTTGGCTGTCTAGTTCTTGTAGTAGATGATCTTGCGCATGTAGATGTCAACGAAGATAGTTTATAGAACGAAGAATGGTTATTTCCGCCCGGAAGCTAGTACTAAAAAGTGTTCTGTGACTCTGACCTGCCGGCTTCTATTACACCCTACAATTTCAGAAGGCCTTCCTTCCCGGAAGGCCAGCCACATGATGAGACCAATTCATATTCCATCCCGATTATTCAGGTATCAAATTCAGGCAAACCCCAACCCATTGTTGCTCCCGTTATGAGTGTTCAACTAGGGAGAAAGAGTGAAGTATGGTACAATTTTAACGAAATGTACGAGATAAGTATAACATTTCACGTTCAGGTGGACGTATGTGCCGAGGATGTCCATTCCCAATCAATAAAAAACCCAAACAGCCGAACGCCGATAGCAAACTGAGACAAGGAAACGAAGCATGTATTCATTTGCTCTTTCGTTGAGATGGGAGGAAATTCCCAACAATGAGAGATGGACTAAGTTGCAAGTCAGATAGGGAAACTATAGCGGCATAAGATGCACTTACATATTGTGCGGGTCTCTCCGTATTGTGAATGAAAAGCAGCAGGGAATCCCATCGCCGGGAGCGTTAGGGTCGGGACTTTTCAATGTGCAGCTTGTGAGCATTGCCTTTTGTGTATTATCAAAAGCAATTGCTCCAAATTTCTCCCAGTAGCTCACAAGCTGATCTTCCACAATAATTTCATGAATGGCTAGCTTGCCCTAGAGCACGAGGACGTGTCAGCTTATTCCTTCAAGAAGACCAATACCACCATCACTGCACTTACGTCTCTTAGACTTTCGATTGGGACTCCGATCAATTCTGCCATCTCCTTGTTGCCTCGAAAGATCTCTCCCGTACGTCTCCAGCAGCAAGCGGGAATCGCCATACTAGCGAAAACACGATCGTATTCCATCAAGCTCCGTTCAAACCACATCTCCACAAGAATGAGTTCGATATCCGTCAGACTCTGCATTCTCTCCCGAAACTTGGGCCTGAATTTATCGAGTTGTCGGAGAATCTTCTGGCGTGAGGCTTGCTGTAGATTCTTTTCCATATATTGGTTTAACCTGGCGTAGCCCTTTACGTAGTTAAATGGTCTGAGAAGGCCAGCGTCGTATTTAGCCTTGAGAAGTTTGTTCATTCGCTCTTCCGGTGGGTCAGACCCGGAGGGATCTGCTGCCGTCATGTAATACGTTTCGCGCGCTTTATCGTTTACCGCTCCACTGGTCGGACCTTGGATTGAATCGCCCTGAGATGGTTGGTTCTGAGTCAAAGGCGGCGGTTGTGATTGCTGGAGTAACGCCGCGTTAGGTCCCCCACTGAGTGTTGCCATCGAACTGATCAACGTCGGGTCAGAATAAATCCCTTGCAGATCATCATTCTGGAACATAGATCCGTCATCCAAGAGACTGTTACTCAGGAAGTCACCAAGAAGGTTATATTCGTTTGTGACCTCCGGGGCATTGAACATGTACGAAGGATGAAAAGTATGCATATCCTGAAATTGGCTTTGGCCACCAAGCCAGTCATTGTAACCGAGAACTTGATGAGGTGGAAGTCAGCAGCAACCTTGAGGGAAACATTTACCTACTGGAAGACTCACGTGGCTGGGAAGTTGCGCCGGGGCCTTGGCCTGAAGAAGAGGAGAGGCTGCCGTGCTGCACAGACGACGATGGAAGCCCATTGGGGAGGATTTGCTGACCGGCAGCATCCGGGACGTCGACATTGCTAGTCATACCTTGAAGGACGTTGGAAAAGTCATTGTTCTGCACACTTTCGTCATCCGCTGCAGAATGTTCGTGTTCACTCCGAGCTCGCTTTGAAGGCTCTCTAGGTTCGTCATGGCACAGATGGCCAATATTGCGCTTTATGCATCGTGTACACGGCCGCTCCTTTATTTTCCAAAGGGAAAGAAAAGAAAACAAGTGTCAGCAGTTACTCTCGTGGAAGGCAACCGTAATGGGTTTCACAAGGATGAGCTGTGATGGTAAAGTTCAGGAAAAGTCGTACCGAATCGCAAGTCATATGCTGTACCACGTGAAGAATTGCCCTTTCGTCAGCAGATGAATTTCGAGGGGTTATTGTTTTCGTTTTTTTTTTTACTCCTTGCTCTGATTTTGCAATGGGGGAAGCAGATGGGACGTCCGGACAGACGACGAGTATTGCTGAAAGGGGCGTCAAGAGAAAAGGCTTACCGATCGCCGACAGTAGACGCATGCTAAAAGAGTGGCAACAGGATTAGCGTCGTGGACTTCATGCCCGCGGGAACGGCAAGGGCAGTGTGAGAGGATCCGCTGCTATTATCCTTGTACAAATGCATGGCGAGGTTGTTTGCTTACCATGATTAACCTTGCGACGCTTCTTGGGGCTGGCGTGAGTCCCCGCAGCAGCGTTTTCACCTTTGGACGCTGGAGAATTTCGCGAGTTGTCTTTGGCGCTCAAGTCCTTTTTGGCTGCGTCTCCCTCGGCCATATTGTTCTTGAGATTTCCTAAGGTACCATTGCCGGGTTGTTCGGGTCTCGTGCCCGTTTGCGCAGCGTTTTTCTCGGTCATTGATCACTGGGCGCAAAAGCGGTTGCGCAGAGTCACGGCTGTTTCGTTGTCGCTATCGGTTGGGGGACACAGATAAGAGTCCGGTGGGAACTTGCAGACCTCAACTAACGCTCATAAACAGAGAAGGCTCAAATGCATTGTAGAAAAGTAATCCTTGAGTGTCTGTCGCGGCGCCAAAGTATGTATGTATGGTATGATGATACGAACGACGGATTGCGATCGACTCACAAGGTTTCCCCGCTGGTGTGCGGGACTTCCAACCGGGCTGTATCTTTTCCCGAGCTCCTCCGCATTTCAGGTGCGGGAATCACCCCAAGATGTCCCGACGTATTCTCTTGACGCCAATAAATCTCCTCAACCTCCCCAACTCGCCCTCGGAACCCCAAAACTTGATATCTGACCAACCCAGCAGCTCTGCATGACCATATGCAACACATTTGTACCTCGGCTAGAATATTTTATATCCTTGGATCCTAGGTTGAATGGAATTACATGCCAATTGTGCTCTTACTATTCCAGAATCGGAGCGTCCTCCTATACTCCAAGATTTATCATTCTACCGTCACCGGAAACGAACATAGAAGATCTAATATAAACATATGCTCAGGCCCTCCACATCGGGAGTTACTCCAGACTAATAGTACGAGTCTATCCTTCGGCGCACGGCCACTTCGTCATAGTACGCCAAATTGACTCCAACGATCTAGACGAGACCCAGTTCCTGGGCTAATCTCCCTATAAGATTAAGGGGCTTTCCAACCTTCATCGAATCATGCATTCGGCGTGAATATGAGCCCGAGTCGTATGATGGCTGGTTCTTAAGCGCACTGTTGGTGGCGTTCTTATAGCATGCTCACATAGCAAGGCCGAAGAGAAAATAGACCCATCACATGCGTAGTTCTGAAATGATTCTTCAGGAATCAGCCAATTATTCAAGGGTCTATTCCCTGAGTCAAGCCGTCGCAGTCATGCATCTGCAATACGGACAAGAAGGTTCGGCTGAATGCTAGGCTAGCTTGCCTCGGCCTCAGCTGTAGCTGAGGTAATACGGCATCAAGTTTGATGAAATCCCAATGCAGGCGAAAGTTGAAATGGTTCAATCTTCAGGTCGGCAAGTCAGGCTCAAAGCTGTCTGAGACCGTGTAATCGCCTCACTTAAGCCTGTCAGAGGGGCTGTATTACCCTGCATGGATTTGAGATGCCCATTCAGCTGCTTTAACAAGCCCGCGACCTCAGGGTCGGTTTCGAGCTGAAGAAAGCACGTTAGTGGCAGCCCGGCAGTGAAAGGAGATTAGTTAATTACCTCATCAAACGTAGTTTGCAAATCACTTTCACTAGAGAGCACGAACTGAGTATCATCCTGACTCTGTTGGCCAGGAACGCTGAGCTGCCGAAGCACGGGATGTTCCTTTTAAAAGTCAGTAACGAGTTCTGCGGCTTCAGAGCAACACATCTTACATTTTTCAGTTGCCTCTTCCGTTCTGCTTCCGCCCGCTTAGCATTCTTCTCCATTTCCTGCAATTGTTTCGTTTCCTTCGCAAGTAATGCCTCTTCCTTTTCGATCTCGGCTTTCAAGAGATCAGTGCTGTCTATGACGGTAGCCAGGCTCGCCTCCAAGGAACACTGTCAATTATCAGTATTAGTTTGCGCAAGCAGTCGAGGACGCTTCGTACGTGTTCTTTAAGTGCAGCCTCATATTCGAAAACCGAATCCTTCGTTACGGGTGGAAATGGCATTCTAGGTAGGCGCTTTCCGAGGCTTGAGAGTAAATTTTGCAAGTTAGATCATTTTTTCCTTCAGGAACAGAACGAATAAATTATGAAACAGAGGAAGATTCAAGATACATACTTCTTCACTACGGCCTGAACAGCGGCTTGCGCTTCAATGCGCTTGCGCTCATTCTGCTGACGCACTATGACTGGGCGCTCGAGGGCTCGAAACATATCGCGAATCTTGTCTTGCATTGGCTCTGGGAGCGTGGACCATTTAGATTTGATCGTTCGTTCAGAGACCCGACGAACTTGGGGCTTCAGATAAGCAAATCGCTTCCTGCGCGTGTTGTCTTGGTCATGCCCCTCGCCGGAGCTCTTTCGTTTCGGAGGCATTGCGACTTCGTTGATCAAGGAGCTCGAAACCCTTGAATGGGGCTCAAATTGAGTGATGGCAAGGTAAAGGTGCAAATGTATTGTGCGTGGTGATGTAGATCGATGTCAACATCAACGCGATTGTTGATCTTGTTGCAGCGTCACATGTCAGAGAAACAGAACGACGCTAAACTCGTTTAAGCGCGCCGTTGGAGCACTGCTCCCGCTGACGGCTGCAGGTATGTATGGAACTATCATGACGCATCCTCCGATACATGGTGCTCGGGCGATTTTCCCTTGTATCTTGTATTTCTCGTATGTTTCTTTTAATTGTCTTGCTTGGCATAAGGACTTAGAAAGCTTTTCCATTCATGAAAGCCTTTACATACAAATACATGTTTGATACCCGTGCCCAAATGCAAGGGCATGCATTCTCTGTAACTGAATATATATCGGCTTCCTATTATGCATACAAGACACAAAACATAAAGCTCGGCTCTCAGGCCTGAGCGATCAAGGGTATTATAAGGCATGGCGCACATCGTAGCAAGAACAAGACAGGCTTTGAAAGAACAGGAGGGAAAGAGAACACAAAGATATCTGAGGGATAGATCATGATCGCCGAGAAGAAACGCCCCGTGAATCAAACTTCCACAATGTACACCACCTAACTCGCTAATTGCTTCAGCTCAGAGAACTTGGTGAAACTGCCTGTGTCCAAAAAAGTGTTCAACAAGGTAGACAGAAAAGAAAGATAGGCCATGGTTGCATAACCAGCATACGCGTTATCGAGGCATAACTAAGCCATTCATGGCCTTCATGTCGGCTAGCTGCGCCTTTAGAATCTCATTCCCACGTAGTATCTCCTCTAGCCAGTCTGCAGCTTGCGTGAGCATGGCACTTTTGCTGAAGCCTCCACCCTTCAGCCCAGGTACAAGCGTGCACAAGTCATCGAATCCCTGCCTGATCAAGTTCCTGCGCTTTTGCTCAGACAGAATGTGATTGCTCCGTTTTTGTTCCTCCGTGAGATTCTCTCTTGCGGGTTTGGTACCTTGCTGAACTTTAGATTTTCGAATGGTCTCAGTTGACATCCGCCGATTCTTGCCATAGCTCGTACTCTTGGATCTTCTTGACCTTGGTTTCGAGTCATCCTCGGAGTTCTCATCCTCTTCTTCCTTGATCACGGTCCTTTGCCGTTTCTTAGGCTGCGACAAATCTTCCATGCTATCCCTGTATTCCCTGCGTAAATCACCGAGTGGCCCGGTCGCATCCGGTCCTGTCCAATGAGCACTGTGGTGGCCGGTGAGACGTTCCGGACTTGGTGCACGAGTATTGGCAGCACTGCTTTGAGGTTCGAGAGACTCAAGATGGCGAAGCAACTCATGCGTCTGTTCTTCGACGTTTGGCTGATCAGGCGGTGCCACATATCCTTGGTCCATAAAGCTGACATCAGACCCCCAATGAAGGGGCCGTACTTTGGCAGTGGCTTGTTGCTCTGGTGATATTGGATCTCGTACATCGAAGAGCATTTCCGACGTGTGATAGGCCATCGGTGCACGAGCACCAGTGAACGTATTCGATTGTTTGGATGACACTGGTTGGGGCTGTTGGGGTTTTACGCGGCCATTCATACGGGAATTGTTGTAGTCCATCTCCGAGAAAGAGGAGAATGGGTGATGTGCAAAAGGCGAGACGAGCCCAGTCCCATTCATGCCGTTTTGATAGAGCATGGAAGCAGCCGCAAAGATATCCGAACTCGAATGGTTAGGTAAAATGTCCATCCCGGATTTATCTAGGCCGCGGTGAGGAAGTGAAGGTTGTGAGAGAGAGGTTGTGGAGCCTTCGAATGTCGGAGGTAGTTCATCTGACCACTCAAAGTTTGTTGGCCCAAGTGACTTATTCTGCTGGCCCTGTAGCCAGAAGTCGTTCGTGAAATGGTTGGAATTCATGGTCGTGAAAAAATTATCAAGCATATTAGACTCATTATCATCAAGAAGAGCTGGCCCGGGGGGAGGTGCAGGTGCCGGTTCGTAAGGAGTATCCATCGGCGATAGAAAGGAATCTGCACAATAAATAAGATTAGAGAGAGGCCTTCATGTGTCAAAATTCGGTTATACATACAGCCAAATGGCCCCGGTTGAGGACTATCCCGTCCACTGCGAGCCTGGGGAGCGTTCATATTCATTTTTATGGGAAAGAGGCAGAAAGGGAAAAGAGCGACAGTGTGGGTTGTGGAGGGGTAGTGATTTTCGCTTGTGTCGCTACTCTATTGTTGAGAGCGACGTCGAGAGAGCAAGGTGAGCATGCCTTGATCGGCCAATGGTCTGGACTCGTACCCTCAAAATCCGGGGTCATATAATAGTATAGATAAGTGGAGTCCACGGGGTCCTTTTGTCCTTGACGTACGACCAGGAGCCCTGGTTTTGGAAAAACCGAACCGCAGATATATATGAGTTGAGGGTGTAGATATTAATCGAACACAATACAAAGAAGCAGCATTAGACGACGACAAGGTTGGCCTGGTAGGAAAAAGGCCCCCGCATTGATATCATATGTGAAAGAGGGAGAAAGAGTTCGTTAGTAGTCTGGGGATATGCGATGGTGGAGAGAGCAGTAGCATTGGAATGGAAACCGTCGGTCTTTTCGACTCGATCACATGCAAAAAATCTCGCGCTCCATCAGAAAGAAAAGGTCGCGTGACGTAAAAACCATACCAAAAATACCCCACTGTCGTCCGTCAGAGTGGTTAGACTTTCCGTAATACCGGGGTATTGTGACGCTCGGTCCTATTTCCCAATCCCGCTAGAAGAGGGTCTCAAATCCATGTCCTGCATGAATTGTCTGTTTGTCTGCGACTCTGTCGTCTCTCTTTCCCTCTTCTACCTTTCCTCCTGGTCCATAACGCAGGTCAATATAACACCTTGCAGACCCCTCCCCCTCAGTTCCCCTTTATCTTCGCATTCTTCGTCGGAAGAAACTTTGTATATACTAATTCTTATTCTTTTGGGGGGAGGAGTTGTATTGTTCATCCGTTCGAACTCCTCTCTTCCTCGTTCCGTTTTTTTCGGCCCACCAAGTGTACTCCGTACGGCCCGGAGGCCCACGGGGTTTATCCCGCGGAACGACTCACGTACCACTCAATTTTGCGGCTGACAGATGGAGGATCGGCCACCAAGGGCTTAGTCTTACCCCTGAACCAGCCTTAACAAGTCGTGCTTTGGAGGTCACTCAAGGACCGAGGTTCAAGATTACGTTGCATGGCTCCACGCTAGGTCACACCAACGCTGCCAATAGACCGGTATCAGGTAGGAATTATTCGAACTGCTGCCACAGCAGGTGTTTGTGCTAGTTTTCCCACTTTGTATTTCCGTAATCTCGTCCAATTTACATGGTCTCCGTCGATTATTGTTGCCTCAAAGAGATTTGGATCGACCCAATCTCCGTAAGGAGGAGGTACACCTCGTTGGAAAGGTGTGTCTCGCTGTCTATGTTTTACGTACAAACATCAGCTATACATAACTAGGAGAAATCCCTGACGCCTCCAGATAGCTTAGGGTTATATTGATCGGTGTGATAAACCTCTTCTACCGAGAAGTGGCCATGGAAATTTGCCATTGAATGGAGCTCTGAAGACCATGGATTCTATAGGCTCCACAGGCAGAGGCCGAAATAAAATCCAACTGCTAAAACCGTAAGTCTTACCTTGACTATGATGCAGTTTAGGAGTCGCATGCGATCTAGAACGCTGGTCCACGTTACATTTTCTGGGGTGCTGCTGAGATTGCTGACTGGACTGCTGCTTGTGTATCGTCACAGCATTCTGCGTGCATATGTCATTGGTTATTTGTCCTCCACCACTCCGAGGGTTATAGCATCTTTACGGCAAATTTGGAGGAATGACTTGGACTATCAACAGAAGCGCAGAGTGGTAGGTTGTTCCATTGGTAGATGCTTACATTCTTTGAAGTGTTCCTTGATCATTCCACATTTGTCCTTCCTTGACCCATCTATAACTTTTGCGCCTTGTGATCTACTTGCCAACTACACGATCCGATAGAAGCTCTAGACTAATATTTGGATAACAGCTAGTTCGTGCTTTGACGAGTGCGATACGATTGGATAGCTTCCCCACATTCTGTGCTTCCCTCGTTGGGGGCTCAACGGTGTTTCCCCTAGTGATTTTCCGGCTGGCTGAGCTCTTAAGCCAAAAAGTTGGCTTCAAGTGGAGTCGATTACAATCTGCCAGGTTTCTGCGTTTAGCTCGACTTATCTGCGCTTTTGTTTCCGCTTGGCTGAGCTTTGAACTACTGAATCGAAAGCCCATTAGGCTGCAAGGAGTTGAAGGAACGCTTGCTGACAATGGAAACGACGAAGCTGCTGGGAAGCAGCAAGGGTACCAGAACACAATACACAATAGACCTCCGTTTGCGGGCAGGACTATGGATCTGACGCTTTTTAGCTTTACTAGAGCAGTGGATCTAGTAGCCTGCATCATATGGGCCCGATGGCGACAGTGGCAGAGCGCTCGGGGTCGCTGGAGTCGGGCAGAATCCCTGGCGCCAAAGCTTGCGGATTCGGGCGTGTTTGCCGCTAGTGCAGCAATCGTGATGTGGGCATGGTTTTACCTACCGGAAAGGTTGCCAAAGTCTTACGGAAAGTGGATTGGAGAGGTAGCCAAGGTGGATTCCCGGCTGATTGAAGCACTTCGCCGAGTCAGGAGAGGGGTCTTCGTGTATGGGAAAGACACGGGGCAAGCACCTCTACTCCAGTCGATGTGCAAGGACTACGGCTGGCCTATCGAATGGGGAGATCCCGCCAAAACAATTCCTATTCCCTGCGAAATGGTACACATGAGCTGTGCCCTAGCTGTGAGAAACATGCCGTATCTCGATTTGTGCGAACGTTTGGGTTTGCCTGTGCAACTTATATACCTTTACAAATTCTCTTCCGGCTCAGGAGATTGAAGTCGGTATTGTCACTCCGCCGGGCTGTATCAGACGCCTTGCGCTCATCTGCATTCCTTGCTTCGTTCGTGAGTATCTTTTACTATTCCGTTTGCCTCGCAAGAACCAGAATCGGGCCCAAGGTATTCCCACAAGATGTAGTAACCCCCATGATGTGGGATTCCGGGCTTTGCGTTGGGGCTGGATGTTTGATGTGCGGCTGGAGTATACTTGTAGAAAGCCCATCGAAACGGCAGGAGTTAGCATTGTTTGTGGCACCTAGAGCTGCTGCGACCGTGCTCCCAAGATTCTACGACAAGCAGGTATGGTTCACGCACTCCTTTTTCTTGCTTGTCTACACATTCCCCAATTCCCGTGTGACACCTCGTCTTGTGTTGCAATGCTATAATTGCGATCTTATTCCCCGTCGTACCTTGTGTAATCCCAGAACTTTATCAATGCTAATCGGTCTTTAGTACCAATATCGAGAGCGCATTACCTTCGCTGTCAGCGCTGCCCTTCTTCTTACTTGTCTTCAAGAGCGACCTGGCTTGGTAAGAGGCGTTTTTGGGAGGATTGCAACGAGCGTCCTGAAATAATGAATGATAGAGTCTACCACGACAATCCGTCATGCCAAGGATCTTCTTCGACACCTAGGACGGCATTGGAGGGGCTTTTGTTTTTTCCCCTCCTGTTGTATTATTAGAAGAATATAGAGCTTTCTTGTACCCCTTGAATTAATTTTGTGGTACTGTACTTCGTACTATAGTATTGAAACTTCATATCATAGTTGATGTGGTATGTCATGATAAGCTTGAAGCGATGTCTAGGCCGTCGTGATTCCGTCTTTCTAGACTAGGCAGTACATTGAGTGTCGGAATACCTCCCGAGGTGCCTGGTGCCTAGGTCCGGTACTAGGTCCTAGGTACCTAACTAGTACAATGGTCCCTGACCGAGGGTTCAATAACTGAATTTGTGCTAATTGGTTGGTGATATGCATCAAGGTTCGGTCTTATCGATAAGAACGTCTGATCGCCAAGGCTAAATCACGTGCAAAAACCGGCCTTCGATATTGCATGGTGAGTTCTCCGCATATCTCCGACTACGCATCAATTCTATCGTCATGTATGGTCGCATAATCTCTCCATGGGCCCGGTTTACGCTACCGGGAACCGGTATTCGGCTGCCGGCATCTACAAATGCGAGATGTTTCGAGCCAGGGAAGAGATACTTCTCTCGCAATTCGTTTTTAGGACAAAATGCCTCCGCACCGTTTAATACGCCTCAAGCTCAGAAGCGGAATGCGTCCACACTGTATAATTATCGCACTGTGCTTCTGGCAACTCATTTCTGACGGAGTCTAGGTACTATACTGCGAGTCTTATTCTCGGAACGGTTGCGCTCGCATACGGCTCCGTCCCTCTATATAAAATGGTGCGTATAAATCACCAAGCGTCCGCTTATGCGCAACAGGAGCTGAAGTCTACGGCTATGTAGATTTGCCAACAGACTGGCTGGGGTGGCCAGCCCATCCTCACTCATCGCGGAGGAGACGCCGATACCGCATCTCGTGTGACGCCAGTAACAGACGCTCGTCGACTCCGGATTACGTTCAATGGCTCAGTCTCCGATGTCTTGCCGTGGAAGTTCACGCCTCAACAGCGCGAAGTCCGGGTACTACCTGGTGAAACGGCGCTTGCCTTCTATACTGCGACGAATAAGGGCCCTTCGGATATCATCGGTGTTGCCACATACAGCGTTACGCCGGGCCAGGTTGCCCCGTACTTCAGTAAGATCCAATGTTTCTGCTTTGAAGAGCAGAAATTGAATGCTGGTGAATCTGTCGACATGCCTGTTTTCTTCTACATTGATCCGGACTTCACGAAAGATCCACAAATGAAGGGCATTGACACCATCACACTCTCATACACCTTCTTCAGTAAGGAAGCGGCTGGCCTACAGTATCAACGTGTAAAGGATTGCTGACACAAAACAGAAGCGCGATATGATGACAACGGAGTTCTCAAGCCGGTACCCACGAACTGATTACATAGACTGTTTACTGTTTCCTATCCATCGAAACAGTGGCGCTTGGATTGGCCACATCCTAGCTTTATAGACAAAACCACGTCGAAAGCCTGGTACTCTGAAATGGTGTCGACGATTTGAGGTTTCCTAAGCCGCACAACAATCGTGAAGCGCCAGGTGAAGCTCTGGCGAAATCCCTCGTAACCTTTCTCCATATCGGGAGACTTCTGATCTCACGGGGAAGTTATATCTCCTCTCCAAAAAGAATACCCATATATGTATCATAGCAATGGATATCTGTACATTACATTTTGCTGCGTGGTGGCACCAATTGTAGGCCCTTGCAGTTTTAAAGGATGGAAACTGCCGGGAATGACGATTCAGAGACTCTCTTTTAGTGGCAGCGCTTAAATGGGCGAAGTTTCGTCGCACTATCTATACATTGAGAGGCCAATGATCTATGGAGGTACTCCGTAATATGGTCAGCACCCGTGCACGGACCACCAATTAAGCTCGCGTGTCACGACCCTCCCGACGCGTCTTGCTTTCGATCAAACTAAGCTATCTCTACATTTGTGAGAAGCACTCCATAGCCTCACGCCACCACAGCACATACTAGAGCACTAAAGATGGCTTTGCTAGTAGACAGGCTGCGACCACGCTCGCTCGACGCCCTGTCATACCACCATGAACTCTCCGCGCGGTTGAAGTCACTGGTAATACAACCTAGAGCCAAATTCTCGCTAAGAAAATCCCCAATTGACATTATTATTGTTCCAGGCACAAAGTGGAGATTTCCCCCATCTACTCATGTACGGACCATCGGGCGCAGGCAAAAAAACCCGGACAATTGCAACACTAAAAGAACTGTACGGTGCGGGTGTGGAGAAGATCAAAATCGATGCCCGAGTCTTCCAGACGACGAGTAACCGGAAGCTTGAATTTAACATTGTATCGTCTGTATACCATCTGGAGATCACACCTTCAGATGTCGGAAACTACGATCGTGTCGTCGTACAGGAGCTGCTCAAAGAAATTGCGCAAACACAGCAGGTCGACCTCTCCGCAAAGCAAAGGTTCAAGGTTGTCGTTATCAATGAAGCAGACCATCTGAGCCGTGACGCCCAGGCAGCTCTGAGACGCACTATGGAGAAATACAGTCCCAATCTGAGACTCATTCTGTTGGCCAATAGCACTTCGAATATCATTGCTCCGATTCGTTCCAGAACCCTGCTGGTCAGGGTTGCGGCACCAACGGAAGACCAGATCTGCACTGTGCTCAGCGCTGCGGGCAAGAGGGAAGGCTGGCCGGAGGCGCCTGGACTCAATAAGAGGATAGCGAAGGAGAGTGGACGCAATCTCCGACGCGCGTTACTCATGTTCGAAGCTATTTATGCTCAAAGGTATGATTGTATTGTCTTTCACTCTTGGTTCTAGACTGACCCTATGCTGCCAACAGTGAGAAGGTGACGGAGAACACTCCGATCCCACCTCCGGACTGGGAGGTGCTCATTTCTATTACGGCTGATGAGATTTTGGCTGAACGGTCGCCAGCTCGACTATTACAAGTCCGGGCGCGCTTGTACGATCTCTTGACTCACTGCATACCGCCGACTACTATCCTCAAGGTCTGACTATGAAGGGATAAAGAATGCTCTGGTTCACGCTGACTAGATTTTAGACCCTCACCTTCAAACTCATCGCCAAGGTAGACGATGCGCTGAAGCCCGAAGTGATTAAATGGTCCGCTTTCTACGAGCACAGAGTCACACAAGGGAGCGTAAGAGTCCCAGACCGAACCAACTGCAACCACTCAAGGATACTGACCCGCCTTACAGAAAGTGATCTTCCACCTCGAGGCCTTCATCGCCAAATTCATGCGCATCTATGAAAGGTTCGACTCCTTGACCACATCACAGCCAAGCATGCACACTAACAATCAACACAGTTACCTAATGGGCATGGACTTCTAAACCGTAGAAAAAGAAAAAGACAAATGAGTAATCCACGATTTACGATTGTTCTGTATAATAAGTGACAGCAGCCTTGATTAGAAGGTGCTCATTGCATCGACGGTTTCTGCGGCGGGATACAGATTCTGGTTTTTGATGCGCTCCACTGGCGTTTTTATAGGATATAACAAACTAAGTTGGCGATTTCAGCAAACGAGAACTTCTTGTGCTCCGCTAGGAACCGAGTTCGGGCCTTACGTAGTCTAGAATGTTTGTCGTGAACCCAAGTTCTTCCCCGTGGGGAAAGGGGCGAAGAACGGACATGATGGACTACGTCATACAATTTCTCTATAAATTGGATGGACCAGCCACGGCCGAATTACTTTGTTTTATAAAGTTTGGACCAGTTTTGAATGTACAACCTCAACTGAAATACATCGTGAAGCTCTTCTACTGCATATTATATCTGGTTATGGAGACCATGTCGGATACTAGGCTGATGGATACTGAACCGGGTGGCGAGAGTACCCAGTGCGTTTTCTTTTCTCCCATTTAGGCGGTTTTTGTTTAACTTCTGATCAAGGTATGAATCTATTCGAGAATTTACGGTGACACCGGCGAAACAAACTGGACAGCTAGGTGGTATGTTGGTTCTGCTTGGCGGGAACACCATGTCTCATTTGGAGTGTATTGGAACTGACCAGTCTAAGGAAATGCACCGCATACGAGGAGTGAAATGATGCGTCTCTTGGATCCGGATACTACTTCCACCGCGGAAGATGAGGACGCCGAATGGGCAAGGAGGTTTTCTGGACAAAGTGGTGTCATGGGAGAAGTGGATAAAGGTACAGTTGATGTTTGCTTTCCTTCAATCTAACTCCGTGTATAAGACATCGACACATGTGGGAATAAAACATTCAAGAAAGAACCAAAAGCTGATGATAATATACACAAGACCTGAAGCCCGACACCCAAGACGGCGATGCACAGGCAGCGAGGTGTAGGAGACTGCAGGGATATGGACCTGGTTCCGGCGTCGGAGCTTAGAAATTGCTGCGCGCAGATAATGTAGTTGATATGATCAAATGGAATATAAGCGATTCATTTATTGAGAAGCAGAGGGGCTAGACGATGTCGAACTGGGCGGCGTAGACATGTTTGCCGTGCCCAGGGCTGGGCTCCGGCGGGGGCGCTTAAGGCTCTCCAGAGTCACGCCGTTGCCGAGCTTCGTCAAGCCGACAACAGGGGGATCGCCCTTCTTGCAGAACTCCCAGAGGCCTAGACCGGATTGTGTTGTTAGCATGGAACGGCTTACCGGCCTATTTTTTTCGAGCGAGAGCTGTGCTTACCGGGCAACTTGTGGCCAGCCAATCTGAAAGCTTCCCTTGCGACCTTCTCGTGAATATCGCCCTTCAGTTCAAACACGATTCTGCTGACACCGACCTTGGCCGTCCAGTAGTCGAACTTTCCCTTACCCTTACCCATACGTTGCTCGTTACCCTTGGTGTACACACCAATGTTGGCGCTCACACGCTTGTAGAGCGTATAGTTCATTCCTCTTAACCGTCTTTTAATGGTTTCCTCTGCAATCTTGAGCGACGAAGCCGGCAGTCGGCGGTCGTGGTCCTTCATGCGCAAGCCGTAGTCGCCCCAGACGACCGTTGTACCACGCGAAGAACCGCCAGTCGCAACATGTGGGCGACCCTTGGGGGACTTGGACGTTTCCATGAACTTTGGAGTAAGCCAGTCAAGAGCCGGGGAGGTCGTAGAGAAGCATCGTGATAGCGGAGAGGCCGTAAAAGTTGTGGATAAACCTAATGTTGAGACGGTCAGCTTTCCGGCCCTGCAGAGAAAAATTCTTATGGAAAGAAATCCAACATACAGGTGGGCCGGAAAAGGGCCAATTGAGGCCCCGCGAACATCTTCATCGTGGAGGCCATGGTGAGATCTGATGCCAGGCCCTTTTCGTAGCGAATTAGCGATGTTGGATGAAGACTTCCAGACTATCGGCGTATCTGCAAGTCCGAGTTTCCCCCAGTCCCAACCGGGTAAAACGAGTTGGCGCACGGACCACGCGCGTGTTCCTTATGTAAGCCAATTAAGTCACGTCGGCGACAAAAGAGCTCAAGGCAGCGCGTCGTGTTTTCCGATCTAGTTGCCTATAATGGTCATTTAATTTAAGAGCACCAGGTGCATTGTTTGTTGCTTCAGCTTCGTACTTATCATCGCCAATCCACCACTGATCTGTTCATGGCATGCTTTGAAACTTGTTAAATTCATCATGCCTGCTGATATCAGGAGCTTTTTTGGCGGCAAGCCGAGTAGCAGTCAGGGCTCGAGTGCCTCTCCTGTGAAGCCGCCCGCAAAGAAAGAGGTACACAAGGCTCTGCTGCCACATTCACCTTCCAGCTCCTGCCGTTTAAGCTGTAATCTTGTTGAACCGAACTAATGTGAAGCTTATCTTAGGAACCTGCTGGCAGGAAAAGACGTAAGACCATAAACCGTTCTACTTACTTGCGCCTTCATTAACCGGTCATGTAGGCGGGAGGAAAGTTGTGGATGATAGTGATGATGAGGACGATGTCAAAGCGACCAAGGCGCCAACCCCCAAAGCTAAGGCGTCAACAAAGCCGTATGCATTGCACAACCACCTGCTCATAGCTACGCCTCACCTACTGACCATCTTTATGAAGGAAACCCGATGTACCGCAAGGGGAGGTAACGACCACATCGGACTACTTCGCCTCCAGCAAGAAGAGGGGAAGGCCGACCAAAGCCAGTACTGCGACGCCCACTAAGGAAACCCAGCCTACCAATGACACCATTTTGGAAGAGGTCAATGCCAGCAAATCGCCGCGAGCGAATAAACAGGCCGAGAAGAAGGAGACCCCCAAGCGACCAACGCGCGAATCGAAGAGAAAAGCTACGGTTGTTCTAGACGATGAAGAACTCGGCGGTGATGACATATTTGCAACGGAGTTTGCAAGGCCAGGTAAAGGCGATGATGAATACGTTGAGGGGCACAGCGAAAAGGATAGCGATGTCGAGGAACTTGCAGTGAAACCGGCCACCGCAGCTTCGAGTAGACCTGGACGTAAGAAGCCAGCCTCGAAGTTAGAGTCGGATGATGATGACGACGATGTGGTTATGGAGGATGCCCCAAAACAGCCGAGGAGAGCAACGAAATCGGCAGCTTCACAACCTGGAAGGAAACGGAAATCAGAAGCCCTGGGTAAGGAGGAGGACGATGAACCCCAGGAAAGCCCTAAGAAGGGTAGCTCAAATTCCAAAACGTCGTCAGCAGCTCGTGCGCCTAAGAAACCAAAGGGGTCTCCTTCGAAGAAAGACCAGCCCGAAAGCAAGGAAATTCAGAACATCTTTGACAGTATTCCAACTGTCCGACCACCCTCACCCCCAGCCGAATCTGGCGACAAGAAAAAATTTAACCCTTTCGCCGCGCGAACGCGCTCTCCCGCAGCAGCCGGAACGGTTGAAATGCCGGTCGGGGCTGAAAACTGCCTTGCAGGGTTGTCTTTCGTTTTCACCGGTGTCCTTGACACTTTAGGTCGTGAAGAAGGACAAAACCTAGTGAAACAATATGGTGGCAAAGTTACTGGCGCTCCAAGTTCCAAGACAAGTTATGTTGTCCTCGGAGGTGATGCTGGTCCCAAGAAACTTAAGACGATCAGGGATCATAACCTGAAAACAATTAATGAGGAAGGTCTCTTCGAGCTCATCCGAAGACTGCCAGCCAACGGCGGTGACGGAAAAGCCGCTGAAAAGTATGAAGAAAAGAGGAAGGCCGAAGAAAAGAAAATTCGAGCCATGGCTGCTGAAATTGAGCAGGAAGAGAAGCGCAAAGCGAAGGCTGCTAGTACGACGACAGCTAAGGCGTCTGCGGGATCCCAGACGCCATCGAACTCTCAAGGTCCCAGGCCTGAGGATGAGCTCTGGACTACAAAGTACGCACCAACGTCAATGAACATGATCTGTGGCAATAAAACTGCTGTTGAGAAACTTCAAAGTTGGCTTCGAGATTGGCACAAGAATGCTAAGGGGAACTTCTCGAAACCTGGGAAGGATGGCTCTGGAATCTACCGCGCAGTCATGATCCACGGCCCCCCAGGAATCGGTAAGACGACCGCAGCACATCTTGTGGCGAAACTCGAAGGCTACGATATTGTCGAAACTAATGCCAGTGATACGAGGAGCAAGAAACTCGTTGAAACCGGTCTTTTGGGTGTCTTGGATACAACGTCCCTGCAAGGTTATTTCGCTGCTGATGGCCAGAAGGTGCACAGAGAGAGGAAGAATATGGTATTGATCATGGATGAGGTAGATGGGATGTCGGCTGGTGACCGAGGTGGTGTTGGGGCGTTGGCTGCTATCGCAAAGAAAACTCACATCCCACTTATCCTCATATGTAACGAACGTAGGCTTCCGAAAATGAAGCCCTTCGATCACGTCACGTATGAGGTACCCTTTAGACGTCCGACCGCTGAGCAGATCAGAGCTAGACTTTCAACGATTTGTTTCCGAGAAGGCCTGAAGATCCCGCCCCCTGTTCTCGACAGTCTCATCGAAGGGACGCATGCCGACATTCGTCAAGTTATTAACATGCTGTCGACTGTGAAACTGGATCAACAAAATCTGAACTTTGAGAAGGGGCGGGAGATGTCCAAGGCTTGGGAAAAGCATGTGATCCTGAAGCCCTGGGATATTGTATCGAAAATTCTCAGCGCTCAGATGTTCTCTCCAAGTTCCAAATCGACGTTGAACGACAAGATCGAACTTTATTTCAATGATCACGAGTTCAGCTACTTGATGCTTCAAGAGAACTACTTGAGGACGAGGCCCGCCTTGTCTAGTAATTATCAAGGCAAAGAGCAAAAGTTGAAGTTGCTCGAGTTGGCAGATAACGCCGCGTCAAGCATTAGTGACGGCGACCTGGTCGACAAAATGATCCATGGAACACAGCAGCAATGGAGTCTGATGCCAACGCACGCTGTGTTCAGCTTTGTTCGACCCGCCAGTTTTGCTTACGGCAATATGACCGAGCGAGCAGGTTTCACTAGTTGGCTAGGTCAGAACAGTAAACAAGGTACGTATCCTTCAACCGCTTATATATCTATGTTACTAACAGAATAACTACAGGAAAACTTTGGCGTAGCACCAAGGAAATCCAGGGCCACATGCGTCTTCGTGCCTCTGGGGACCGCGACGAAATCAGACAACAGTATCTACCCCTGATCTGGGACAAGCTTGTTCGTCGGTTGATGACCGATGGAAAAGAAGGTGTTGAGGACGTCATTGATTTCATGGACAGTTATTTCCTCACCCGAGACGACTGGGATGCCCTGGTCGAGCTTGGCCTTGGCCCTATGGATCAATCGATGGTGAAGCTAGATACACAGACGAAAGCGACATTCACACGACTCTATAACCAGCGCTCGCATCCACTTCCCTTCATGAAGGCCAGCAGCGTCACTGCACCAAAGAAGATGCCAAAGGAGAAACCCGATATCGAAGATGCTATCGATGAGTCGGACGATGAAGTGCTCGAGGATGATACCAAAGATGACGATGAAAGTGAAGAACTGGACCTGAAGAAGGACAAATACGTCCGGGTACCAAAGAAATCCGCGGCGAAATCTGGGGCGAAATCTGGAGCGAAGGGCGGCTCAGGCAAAGGAAAGAAGGCTAAGAAGGCCGCCGACGATGATTTTATTGATGACGACGAGAAGCCGAAGAAAGGGAGAGGTCGAAAGGCTAAGACGTAGGACGTTTCACTCTCTCATTGTGGACGTCTGGGGAGATAAATCTCTCTTTCCTTCTGAAAATCGCAATGAGAGGAATGGGCGATATCTGTAATGGTTATTAGTTAGGTACTTGTATTATACTGAACGACGACTATGTTGAACCAAAAACCACTATCATTCTGTGCCAATAATTTAGCAATTGATCTAAATAATCCAAACAAATAATCTACGGAGGATCGGCGGCGCTTTATCTACATCCATGTTTCTTGGCTGATCTGCGGAGATTGTCTTGGGAGAACCCGCAATTTGCTGCTCTTCCTCCGCTACTCAGTACTAAACCTCCACCAACTCCCTCCACGACCTTACTCTCTCTTTCTTATTATAGCTTCCCTTTACTCTACATCGGGCTGGTCCTGGTTGAGAACGAACCTTCATTTGATCCCTCTGTTGCTGACCACGTTCAGCGCATCTATTCACTCTCAACGCAGTAGTTAGAATCATGCCCAGATGAGCACCACCAGCGACTTTACGGTGTCTGCCTTAAATCTTCAATATTCCTGATCGCTACCAGAGTTCGATATCTATAACCTCTCAACATTTACTCAAAACCGTGGGAAGATGTCTCTCCTTCACAATGAAGAGTACGTCGAGTGGTGTGCACCTCGCATCTGCTCCCGCCACTTTCCCCGCGATCGCCCTTTCATACCAAGAATCCAGTACTAAAAGAATGGTAGTTTTACGATATGGCAACTGCGCACCTCTTATCTATCCACGATAAAAGACGGAATAGGCGACAGACTCATCAACGTGAACAACTCGGTTCTCAATACTCCTGGATTTCGCGCGGCGGGCTGGTCGTCAGCTTCCACAAACCCCAGCGCACAAAGCGTAGCGGCCCATATTCGTCGGACATATTCCCCTCCGATTCCCACCACCGCTGCAGTTACCTCGGAGTATTATCAACTGGGTGTCTCCCGGGATGCGACCGAAGCCCAGAGACTTGGTTTGGGGGAGGATGGCGAGGAAGATGAAGGGGGCATGGTGACGGGCAAAAGCTCTACGGAGGTGATAGGACGCCGGCCTCATGGACGCGCTGGGAAAAGAACCCATCGAAAGGAGCGGCAGCAAAACGATTCTTATAAACAAAGGGATGCGGAAGAGGATGACAGCAGTGATCTGAGTGATGAGAGCGACGATGATGTGGATAGTCAAAGGTTGGTCTAGT